ATGCATGAATAATTGTACATAGATGAATATTTGATATGTTTATCTTCAACATTTTTGTACCTTAGAATGGTAAACAAACTCGGGTATGCATTCTTTGGACGGTTTTTACTCTTACTTTCCTGTAATTGGAGAGGTCATCAGATCTTTCCACAGTATTGAGGACAAGTATTGGCATTTCCAAAAATGCTCACAATCGCCGTTCAACCATGAATATAGAAATAATATTTTATTTCTTGCCAAATACCTTTATTGTGTGTGGTCAACACATAAAGCCAACTTACTCTACCCTTCCGTTCTAGACGTGCTCAGTTATATTCTATGACATGTTTTTCGTTCTGGGTCAGAATGTAGGAGATATTGCCAATAAGAAAAATATCGCAATAACTAAACGTGTAGTACAATTAATAAGAGTTCTTGCGCTACTTAATCAGTACATCAATGGGCAAAATAATAAGCTTCTTGCATAACTAACAGTTACTTGATTTACACTGTGAACATTCTATTAATGGAATTTATGTTCTACACTCCGTCGACTGCTTTACGATTTATTTTCTGAAATTGACTATAGCTGACCTGTTATATTTTAGGTACGAATATGATGCAATAAAAACACTCATAGTATTACACTCGCCCGGCAAAGGGCATTTATGATGTTTTTTCTTTAAGTGCCAGTTTTGGAAAGAAAGCAAAATATACAGTTAGATCTAGTAAGATTACATCCTCTTATCGGAAATGGCATGTAGCAAAAAATATTACAATTTGATCTGTTTATCCTGCAAGAGACTAAAGACTGGTACTGAGTTCGTACATTGATAATGGTATTGTACAGTTGTACGAATAAGAAGCCCGACAAAACATGGCCGTTGGGCATTTACGCATCCCTCATTGCAGTTTTTGACGTTCATTTTGTTATCATGTGATATTGAATTATTCGCTTTGGTTGGCTAAAGGTAGGCGATGTACATGTAGAACTGTTCAAATCTTGTCAATTGTTTATCGCCGTCCAGGAACGGCGATAATGATTGCTGGCTGCATCCATGTTTGCGTAACAAATTGAAGTATGTAAACCTCATTTACAGCCTAAAATCATTAGAACCAGTCCACACACATTGTTATGCGCATGCTCCGCTTCAAAATACAACTTTACTTAAACGAAAAATAACACCGAGGTGGACAAATCGCTAAAAGGAAAACTCTAAAAATATCCTATACATGTTTGTTACATTTAACGCTACGAATAGAGGTTCATTTACTTATTTCACATTATATTTTTTAACTGTATAAACTGATTACCTTTTTGTGAATAGCTATTTTGAAAAAAAAATAGTTACAGTAAACAGTATTCATAGCTACAATATTGTGACATTTGTGACATTTGAAACTTGTCACCAACAAGAAGAATACTGTTTTAGAATAGTATATCTGACCCCCGTTTTAAATTAGCCATTGACAGTCCAGGCAATTGGTACATCTCAGTTATTTTTAGATACGGTCAGATAAGGTCGCTTAGAATAAGATGTTCCAGGCATAGTACTAGTTTAGCCCTTCAGGATCGACAAAATATCAGATAAGATAATTAATCTCTTACTACTTTATCTATATGCAGGTTACTTGGCTAAATTTTGCAAAGCTAGAAAAGAGCTAGAAAAGGGTTTTTCTCAGTATATTTTTCTGCTGTTAATAAGTTTAAAGGAATAGTCAATCGAAGGTAATTGTATCAAACTTGTATACCATAAATAGAACAAATATATATATATTATGCAAGTTTATGTTGCACTCAGTTGCATTGTTGTACAAATAGTTATGCTATTGAGTAAACATGTACATTCAAATGTATTTTTGTACTTATGTTGGCATCGCACAATAGTCTGTTTACCTGAACTACTTATGCGAAGTTTGAAAGGGCATTGCCAACAATTAAATAGTCTCGAAGTATTCAGGTTGAGCAAGGAGTCGTGCAGATTGTTTACCGCAAGTGGGTCTTGCTTCAGGCCATTTTGCACACAACACTAGCTGCATGCGCAAACAAAAGAGCATATGAGCTGAAAAATGTTTATTTGTTGGGCTCTTTGAATTTATTGGAGTTAAAGAGATGTTGTTGTTGAGTTAAGTTGTTTTAAATTAAGAAAGTGTTTTATTTGCTTTTAGACTGTTTCTAGAATATAATTATGATGTATAATTTAAGTTTTACTGATATTATTTTCATGCTTTCACCTGGACTTCTTATTTATTATACAAACCCAGAGTTATAAATCATTTATGACAGACATTTTCAGCGAAAACGTGTTTCGACAGATTTCTTTAAAAATAGATAAATAACAAAACAAATGATTTCATAACAATATCACCAAGCACTATTATATGACCGAGTGAACCGTGCACCGAAATTTTACTGCTACTTTAACCGTTGAACGCCTAGTCAAATATTCCTTATATGAGCTTATCCGGAGACTGACTGAAATAGCCGATATGTTGTTCGCAGATGCAATTCGACCTTCCCGCCATTTCAATAATTAAACAAATCTTCAACAGTTGCAAAATACCTCTCGCTTGCTGTAACGATAACTTATGAGTAGGGTCGAAAATTGTGTCTTAAGCGGGGTAAATGTTAACATTGAGAAATCATTGTAAACGACAACAATGAGCGACCTCTGTCGTAAAAAAATGCATGTGTATATGAATTGGTTCCCGGCTTCAAAATAAATACATGATCATAAGATAAAATGGTAGGAATTGAAATGAGATAACCAATGAGTAATTTATTGTGTATATCACTTATAACTGACATCCTAATTCAAGAATGAATGTTGACAAATAGGTCAATATATTGTTATTTAAGCGTCAATATATCTTTGCATCACTAACGCAGTAGCCAACATAAATTGGAGAGATAATTTATTAAACATGATCATGTCTGGTTCAAAAAAAACTATGGGGAAAGAACACATATTCCTTTATAACATTCATTATGAGAAATAAACTGCATATAACAAAAGCTATAAAATGAAACAAAGATCACTACAAACAAATTCATATAAAAGTACAATATGTTGGTTAAATAAAATTGTGTCATGATGTTCATATAAGAAAAGTGTCATACTAATAAGAATGCTTGCGTACAAACTACAATATTTTAATATGATAATTGTTATTAAGATAACGTTTGTTTTTAAATTTACATGTAACAATGCAATTTAAATGTCAAGTGATTAAAATACTGTGCAAATACACAAAATGATGTAGTAACTATAAGAAAGACAATCACTCAAATCTTTCCAGTGGCATGTAGGTTCTAGTTTATACCATCATAAACATATAATCATAAGATAAAAAGGCGGGTATTAAAATGAGATACTCAATGAGTAATTTTTATCTGTGTTTACTATGTAATCTTGAAATAAGTGAATATTGATGCAATGGCTATGACACTTCATGAGTAAAATGTTTAAGTGTAAATCACTATGTTTTTGTCATATAAAATTAATCAATTATAATATGTAGTACTATAAATTACTACACATATCAAAATAAAAACATTTTATTCGTTTTCCTTTAAAAACTGGATGAAAGAACTCCGTAGTATAATAAACGAATATAGCCCGTTAGAGGGAAAGCGAACTGTGTGGTAATAGCTAAAAGTTTTAATCTGTACACATTGTGATGTGTCATTTGGATTTCATTTATCTCTATAATGTTATCAAAAGGGATTTTGAAATATTACGATGAAGTATGTTTGTATAGTAGTTTTGTGTAGTTTTTCTGTTATCTTCTGGAGGCTCGTCATATCGATCAAAGGTTCATTTTTTACGCCACATGACCTTTCGGTATTGTTGTGTAAGACTATATTGTAATTGAATCATTCATTTATAAGCGATAGGGGTTGAGGGACTTAATATTGTGATTTTCATTATCAGTTATAAAGACTTGACAGGAAATTTTATCTTATCTTTACCGTTGTTTGCATATACAACCCGAGTCATGTTTAAAGTTTGTATAAACGTCATGAATATATAAAATTACATTAAATCACAACGATAAAAACCGACGTTTTAAATGAGCAACTTAATATAACCCATTTTTATCAAACTTAGACGGTTGTCGTTTCTATAACTATTGATAAAGTCGTTTCAATTTGTGTGTGTGTGGGGGTAACTGTGGGCATGTGCACGTACTATAAGTTTCTTATCTGCTGTATTTTTATGTTATTGTGTCGCTTTGAAAAAGGCGACATATAGGGGTCCCCTCAGGGTTGTCTGGAGCAAATTGCAGTCACTTTATGTCGGATTGATTCCAAACTTGGTATTATGCATGCTTGCTTATTTCAATGACCAAAAAATTGCAAAAATTGCTCAAGCATCGACACTTCATAATTTTTGAGTTACTGCTCTTTGTAAATGTTCATACTTTATCTTTGTCCGGACCATTTCTCCTAAACTATAAATGCTAATGACTTAAAACTTCATTGGTTGATAGATCTAATTGATAAAAAGTGCAGTGCATGAAAATGGTACCCTGCACTTCTAATTTATTGAGTATTTGGCCTTTGTTAATTTTCATATTTCATTTTTGTCCGGGTCATTTCTTGTATAAATGGTATTTTTATTTTTGATCATGATGTTACATTGTTACAATCAGTTCAAATGCCATATAAGTTAAAGGGTCAAGTACATTCTAAGAGCAGTGTTTATAAATAACCTATATTTAAGAAGAAAATGCATAAGAAACAGCTATACTGTTAACAAACCGACACATCCGACTCGCGGAGTTCCATATTTGGATTGAGGAAATTATAGGAAAACACAGCTGTGAATAATTCCTTTTTTCTACAGTCTTTTAGTTATAGCTCTTTGTGATATTTCATGCTAAATTAATGTTGGGGCCATGACACAATAAGAAATGGTTATACCAACTTGCAATTACACAGCTGAAGTTTGCATTTATATTCATCAATAATTCTATGTTTATTTCACGTCAATTCTACATTGTATTTCCAGGTGTGTCATCATTCAAGAAACAATTTATAGTAATGTCTAGCTATGGCATCTGCTCAACCTGGTACATCATCTTTGGCTCAAGCAGTTGATAATCGAGTATTTTTGTTCCGCCTTCAGATACTAATTATAGATGGTGGACTTACAGTTTTAAGAAATTATGTAGATCACGAACTTTTAGCTCAATCTATTACTCTCAGCGGTTGTCTTGCTAATGAAAAGGCCACTATTCAATTTTTGAAGGGACGTGGTTTAATAACACAGGTGCAATATGATTTATTGTTTCCACCGAGTGGCACTGTTTCAACGTCAGATTTGGACATCACACTTACCATTTGTCTCATGAGAAACCTAAAATGTTTTAAGTTAAATAAAAAGTTTAATTGGAACATTCCGCCAATACAAAGTGATACTTCCATCGAGGCAGACATTTGTAGACTGAAGAATTACAGGAACGAAGTAAGATTTTAAAAAAGGCTTATGTTTATTTTCAATATTAAAGTGAATCATAGTATCAAATAATATTTTACTTTTTGTCTTATTATATTAGTGTAGATAAAAATGTCCCTCTATAGGAACACTGGGTCAATACTGAACAAGTTCCCGAGGAAGGTTTTATATTAGTTATTTTGTCAAAACAATTTGTTTTATTATTCAAGCATTTTAAAGGTGATGTTTAAAATCGAATAAGTTAACATGCATTTTGAACAATGTTATATCTTCAGATTTGTCATATATCGACCACTACAGGAATACAACATAATGATTTTATTACAAAGTGGAAAGAAATCGAACAGGTATTTATTTAATTTAAATACTTACTTAAACATAGTTAGTACAAATGTTGAAAAGCAGGAAACACTCGTTACTAAATTCCATACTTATCAGTCAAGCAGTGTAACTTTAGTATCTTTTGTTTATGCAATGTTGAAAGGAAATATAATAGGTTGTATCAAGTTCTGTAATTAAAGATAACGTTTTATTTTTTCTATATTTTTGATTCATTAAACCAAGTTTTGTCATCTAATGTATTTTTCAGTGCTAGTATTTTCACTTATGAGATAGTAAAGGTAGAAAATTTATTCAGATGATAACTAACTCTTATAATGTCACCAGGCCAGGACTGCAAATAACAAATGCGAAAATATTGTAATTTTACTCGAGAAAAATGTTTTGAAATATATTTAATTTCTTTTCAAACGCTAGCCAAATGTCATTAAGTTAATTATCATGCCTGTACGCCTTTCAGATTCTCCTTAGATTCGATAAGGTGTATCCAATCAAAGACTTTCACCAGACAATAACTGACTTTGAATTCAGCCCTCTTGATCCAAAAACAGAACAGAGGGTAACGGATGAAATTGAAAAATGGGAAAGTCATGATAAAGCAGTAGAAGTTGATATAGAACTTCTGAAAGCAGGTCATAAAGAGACTATTGAAGACTTGAAGACGGTTAAAACTGAAATAGAAGAAATAAAAGAACGACTACCAACAAAACAAACGATTTCAAATATGCAAGGTAAGCATGCTTATACATTGTTGATATAAAGGTTGTTATAATCTTGTTATCAACTTGGATATTAACTTCTTACAGGTATTTGCATTACAATTAAATTGAAGTTGCTGATTTAATAATAAAAATGACAAGGACATAGTTATATATGAGATATGATCAGGTTAAAAAAAAACCCACAAACAATGCTTCGTTTGTCAATGACATTCTAAAGGTGACAATGACATTATAACATTATAAAGGTAAAGACAATATGTATATACATATACATATATATATATGTTGAATTGAACTTTGCTGAAAAAATAGAAGAGTGTACAACAATAGACTTGCTAAATAGCTTATGTCATACAAAAGTAATATTTCTTATTGCAGCATATTCGCTCATTTAAATTATATTATTCTAATTAAATTAACAATAGTTCATAAATAAGCTGAATATGCATAGCAAAAATAGTTGTAAAGAGATGTTGGCACTAAATTGGTACTTAATAGAAAACTAAATTTGTAGATTTTAATTAAACAAAGTGTTTAACCTGACCTATCATATAATTTTTGTGTTTAGTATTGATTTCTTATAACCGTGCAGATAAGATCTTATTAGTAAATAAACTATATACAATAAACTTTAAACTATCTGAAGAACTTGCAGAATTTACATTTCATATCATGTTCCATTTGATGAAATATTGTATGATCTTATGGCGTAAGTGAATGTGTATGCTCAAAATATTTGCATTACAAAACGCATTCAAATTCTGCCTAAATGTATGACACTGTCCACACGAGTATTTTCAGCCCAAATTTATAACATAAACCCTTTAATGTTTTTATTTGATGATTCGTAGCTTAAAGAATTCAATTTTAATATATAATTATATATGTATAAGAATAAATAAAATCTACCGATGTGTGTTTGAATATGACGTAGTAACAAACCTACAATCGACAAAGTAGAGTTTATAAAATTATTATTTGCATTTATTATCCTTCTTGTAGGCTTTAATTTTATACTTAAATTACACTCACTCACTCACTCACATATGCCATAATATCTATATATTTTGTGCATGCTTTTGTTAATATTCACTCAGACTTTAACTTGCAAGGGCATTAATTTTGACCTTGAGTATCAATACTGTAAGTATGCTGCAAACACTAAGTTATACTGCACGTAGAAAAGAATCGTGTTTTTGACGAAACAGGACGCCAATACCCTCCCGCACACCAGGAGAAGATCAACAATATGACCCGGTTTTATTTGAACGGTTATATAAATGAAAGCAAATAAATTTCCCTTTAACATGAATGTCAGTTAAAAGGCTTTTAAATACTTACATACGAATGGCGAATTTTTGATAAAAAGAAATTGGAAGAATGTCTGCAAACTTTTCTTACATGATAAATTGCTGTTTAACCACTGAAAGCGCATTTAAATATATTTTCTTATTACAAGATAGCGAGGGCCTTTAAATTAAAGTTTAATCAATTATGTATATTTAAATATCAATTGATGATCATCGACTTCAAAATTTTCATTATCATAGATTGAGATATATGGATGACTAAAACAATAATATGTGTAACAGTATTTTACAATTTTGAAACTTTGTGTAACAATTCATATTTTAGATGAAAGAAGGCAGGAAAACGAGAGGGATGGAAACTTTATTCAAAGTTTTTTTGAGAGGAGACGCTATCGCCAGAAGAAAAAAAGTAAGATTGTATTTAAATATTCATCAGACAAAGTCCAACTGATGGTTCTCCGAGCAATTGGATCAGCCTAAATACTATTTATAACAACCTTCGATACGACGTGATCTAAGATGTTAATAGATAAGGTTGTCAGACTGTATATGATGCATTATTAACGTTGATGAAGGTAGGTAAAAACGAGGATGCTAATTTTAGTTTACTGTGTAAAATGTGTGACATATATGGTCAGGCATTTACTACCAAATTGCAAAAACGTATATGGCACATAAGAATTTATCACAGCTGTCTGTATGTGCCATATACGTTTTTGCAATTTGGTAGTAAATGCCTGACCATATATGTCACACATTTTACACAGTTAACTAAAATTATCATCGTCGTTTTTACCTACCTTCATCAACGTTAATAATACATCATCATCATCATCATCACTATCACCATCATCACCATCATCATCATCATCATCATCATCATCATCATCAATAACATAATAATCAACAACAACATTATTATCATCAATAATGACTTCTGTGTCCATACACAGCGACTGGCTTTATTGAAAGTATGTGCAAAATATTTTCGCCATTAATATTTATTGACTGGAAGATTCAATATCGAGGGGAAGGTATTCTAACTTTTTACTTGTGCATGCGCCTCTGCCTGTCTACGAGCGTCTGTCCGTCCCGGAATCTTTAGTGTTGCTACTTAAATAATTTAGTTAGGGTAATAAAATTTTGTTATTGTGCACCTTGGGTTTCGCATTTCGATTTGCCCTTGACTTAGACAAATAGGAAATTGTCAGCTTATGTTGCGTGAAGCTTCAACAGTATTTGAACTAGGGGCATGAATGTATATTCACCTGAGGTTTAGCTTGTCGATTACCGTAGTAATTCCTTGACTAAGTACAAATTTGCAATTTATACATTTGTCACATGTAGCCAAAACAGTATTTGAGCTAAGGTATTGAAACTTTACGTGGGTATTAAACAGAATATGAAGTCATATAGCTAGCGTCCTTAAGTTTTATATCAATATTTGTAAGCATATATATTATTGTGCATGTGCGGCTTTCGTGTGGATTTGTACAGTAATGAGTTTGTGTCTTTTACTAAGTTATAATTTGAAATTTTCACTTGTGTGGCTGACTAGCTTTTAGGTGTTTAAAGCAGAGTCAAGAATGTTGGTCAGCATATGTCGTTGTGCATCCGGGATTTCACTTATAGATTCGATTAGTGCTGTCATAGTTATAGCCCTTGACTCAAGAAATTTTGTATAAAAGATGGTTAGGGCATGTGTGTCCTATTCTTTTGATAAGATTTATTGCCATGTTGAAGATAATTATTTTGACTTTTTTTAAGTATTAAAGTGCATGATTTTATATAATTGTTTTACAAACTCTCGTTGATTTATAATTTACTAATATCCAATATAATTAGCATATAGTTTCGGACTTAGCCATTCACTGACCGGCTTTGTGTAAATATGCACAAAATAGTGACAAATTCCAATGTCGTCATTAAAATTATTCAAAATGAATTTTTCTTTTATGTTTATAAAACACATTATAGTTACGCTTTTTGTTAGTTAATCTAACGCGTACAGATCCTGATTTTGATATGTACTTTACATATTACGCCATGAATTGGATATAAGCAAACTCATTTTTTTATTCATGGGAAAAAAAACGACTTTTGAACATTTTCATCAATCATTTTCTTCGCGTGTAATTTTACATTGGTGAGCATGGCTGCAGCATATTTGCTGTTAAAGCACTTGCTCTCTTTACTTATTAATCACAGAGTATGGATGACACAATGGTAAGGGGTATTGGTGGCCTAATTGCTAAGATGTTTGCCCCTCAACCCCAGGATTGTGGGTTGGAGCCCAACTCGGGTCATGACCATGTTTCCTCATCTGACAGGAATCGGACTCTAAAGTGACAAATATAAATTAAAAGAACGTGTTTTGCAATCGATCATTAATGAATATGTTTAAACCAAGAGCTTGTAGATTTATTAAGGGCCCTGAAAACATTTTGTTCAAACAGCAAGAAATATAAAAACATTTATTAATCCATAACATTTTCTCGTTAACAGGGATATTGCAGTACGATACACACGAACTATGTGTTTCTCCTATCTGGTGAAATATTTGTTTATTATACATAAAAAAATCGGTGAAAATTTTGTTTATTATGTACCTTTAAAAATTCGATGAAACATTTGTTGATTAGAGATCTTCACTTTAGAAAATATTGGTGAATGTTTGTGAGGATTAGGTAAACAAGAAATACGAACATTGGAATTACTGACGTGACGCGATATTGAACGCCGACTGGCTGTTCTTGGATTTGAACCCATGCCCTATCGAAACTCTGAATATGAATACTTTTCAGAAATGAAAATTCTGTATTGAGCATCAAAAACCTTAATCAGGACGGGCTAGGACGTAGACATTTTTTAAATCCACATCCTAATCTCGAATTAGCACGTGCACGACCTACTAGTGCATCCTTACCACGACTTCAGTCTTTACACCGTTCTTGCAGTACTGAAAAAACAATGAGCTTAACGAACATAAGATTCTAAGTATTGGATATGCACAACTAAGTATCTTGTTCATACGAGATCTTTAGACAGTCAGGATATGTTAACATGATAAAGAAAACATTTTTGTAGTGCATTTTGATTAGCCAATTGTTTCGTATGTACGACTTAGCGACATAGGATCTAGTGCAAATGTTAGTCACTATGGCATGTAGTTTTAGCTGTAAATGCTACTGCGGCTTGTGATGATGATGATTTTGATGATGGCGTTGATGATGTTGACGATGATTATGATGATGGTGATGATGAAGATGGCGAATGCGTTTACGATTCTGTATTAGGTTATTTTTTATTTTTGTAATAAACGGTATGTGCATTAAAGAAATAAAAACTACACATGTGACATATTCGTTAGTATTTCATTTTTATGCGCATTTTTGGTAGTGACAAATACGTTTTGGTGAGCATTAAAAACTTAATCAAACAGAATATGGCACATTCAATGCCATATCCGACCGAATATGTCACTCGTGTGACAAATTCGAACCGAATATGTCACATGTGTGCCATGTTCGGTCTGTGCCATATATGGTCCGACAGAGGGTGTAATCTTTGTCAACTTAATCAAACCAAGTCTGCAATTTCCTTGTAGTCTAGTTGTGTTAAATGCCAATAAGGGATCACACATTTTCAGATTTTGATCATGTTTAACAAGTGTTAAATTCTGCTTAAGCCAGTGTTAGGGGGTGTGGACGGTAGATTGCACTTGTCAGTACCGTCCATGAACAGGCTCAATCAAACCGAGCCTGCAACATTTTCAATGTTGCCGTGTTGGGCTTTCTTTAGGAATTTTTATTTTCTCTATTTTAAGCAAGTTTTATTAATATCAAACCAGAAGATCAACGACCCCTGTTGCAAAATGTACAGTACAATTTCAAATATTGCAGCATACATACTAGTATATGAGATCTATTCAAATAATATTAACAAACATATTTCCTATGTTAGTTGTTTACGTAACAGTAAATATGGCTTTTATAGCAACAAGTAGATAAATGTCATAATGTGTAACGAATGTGTATTTTTGACTTCCAAAAATAAAGTTTTTTTTCGAAAAATTTTGATTGTCCGACGAAATAACCAATTTAAAAAATTAATGTCAACAGATAGACATTTTGAACTTTCGATTCCCATAACCTTTATATTATATGTATAAATAATGAATAATGTTCTTTTTACTTTTTTATCTTAGTTTAGGTGGGTGGAATACTTGATATATTGGGGAAAAACATCTCCCAGCATTTATTATTTTTTTGTTTACATGTTTAGTATCTAAGCGTAGGTTAGGCCGAAATACCATAGGTTAGGCCGAAATACCGTAGGTTAGGCCGAAAAACAGTACACGTTCTGTATATTCTTTCTGATCGTGTAAAAGGTCCTTAAACAAAAGTTTAACGGAAAGGGCCAGAAGAAATGCGAGTGTACTCCAAGCGGGGATTTTTAACAGTTCATCTAAATAATCACAAATAAGTGATTTATAATACCGTCAGATGGATGGATTTGACCTCAAAGACGGACGTTAAATCTAATCAAATAAAATGTTTGCTTTGTTTAACTTAGTAAACTTTCAATATCAATGCATGTGTATAACTTTCATGAGTTTTCGTTGGCATTTCTGCTTTTTCTTTCATAATTCCTGCTCTCCACGGATATCCCATCATATGTCCATCAAATTTCAAAATACTCATTGTTTGTCTATATCACTACAGATTTTTCTGTATTGTGTTTCTCCAAAAATATACCAAGGGATGTTCGGAATATCTGTACAAATATTTGAATAATCTTTGTTAATTCATAACTTGTACCAAACGTTTGCAAAGGTTGTTTAACAAAAGTAACAATACATAAAGTATGTATTTCATATTTATGGAAGTACAGTACATACTTATGCCAAACAGTAAATACCTAAATATTTATGAAGTAAAATTACTTTTATTTTGGATCAATAATTATACATTGACCTTTGTATCTGAAGATACACATCTGCACATTGACTTTCCTTTTACATGCTGTAATATAACATTGATCACCCCAAACTCACTAGACACCCCTGTATTATGCAAAGTAACCTTGCCGGTTTTTCGTAGCGGAACATTTAGCCACACCTTTTCCATTCATTGCAAGGTCAACTGCTCACAAACAGTTTCACAAACAAAACCATGTGTTCTTTTGTGCAAACCAGGTCAACCAGTGACTATGTATTTACTTAGTGTAGCAAATGGATAACAACAAGTTAGCTAATTTACATACATCTGTTAACACTGGAAAGGTTCAATTAGAACAAACAAAATAATCTACGTCTGTTCTTTTTATTTGGTGTAATATAAATGCAGTGGCATAGCATTTTTAAAAAAAAAAAAACATTTTTAATTATTTTTTTTAGGAATTTTGATT